AGACTTCTCTCAGTCTGGGTTCTTTCCACTGTGCCTTTTCATATGTCCATGATAATCTATACATCTGTATAATCTTTTTGGAATGAGTCTGAAGTACCAGGGAAAGGCACAGTGTAAATCAAAAGGAAAAATTGTAATGGACACTAAGGTTTTTATGGATACAAAGAGTGCTGGGAAATCTATCCTCAAGGCTGGAAGTGTCCTATGTTCTAATTCCCCTAGTAAGAAAACTGTAGTACAGGAAAGAGAAAGAACGGCTGAAGAGAGGATGAACACTGCCTCCAGCCAGTCTGTGGATGCCCTGACTCAAGATTAAGGACATCTTCCCTGGGTTCTAGGAAGGTTCTAAAGTGCATTCACCACTTATGTACAGGGGTTTATTTCATAATTTTGTTTTTATGTTAGGAATGCAAAACAAATATCAGTATACCAAATAAAATCTCTGGGCTACCTTCTTAGATAATCCAGACACTGAGCCCCAAAGCAGAGAGATGATCCCAGAATCTCAAAGATCCTATGCAAATTTTAGTTAACACCAGCATGTTTTATCAACATAAAGGTTTTTGGTGTTCAATAACTATTTATATTAGGTCATTTATTCTAATACCTCTGAGCAGAGTAGGAAAAAACAGTCATCACCCATTACCTTCTGGGTCTAACTAACTATATTTTTTATACTTTTGTAATTTTATGAATAGAATACAGAATAAAGGGATAGTGAAAATCAACTTTATAAGAAATTTTAATATGAATGCAAGCATAGTGAACCTAGATTTTGTTCCTTTCATGATTTTAGTGGAACACATACAGAACATGTGAAAATATCCTCTAAATGCAATTAACTGCTCATGAACTATCATGCAATTTGGGACATATCTATCTTGTAAATAGTGATTTCAAATGCATCTCTGATAGGTCCTAGTTTATCATTATTTCTGATTGTTCATCTCTTTCATTTGCATCATCAAATTGAAATGCTTGAAATCTTTTATGTAACCACTTGATGAATGATTTTGTTGAAGAGAGGACGACTATGTTCTTTGCCCCAAAATTACAAAATATTTTTTTAGATTTATAAACACTGATTAGAATAATCAATTTGATTAAATTCTACATCATCCATTTACTTCCAATTACCTTTGATATACAGCATCCTTTAGCCTTTGTCCACTTGTGAAGCATTTGGTAAATTTAGGTGCACAAGAACCATTAGAGCTACAATAATACTATCACATGTCCTTTTAGAAAAATTGAATGGTCAGGTTATTGTTGCAAAATATTACATGGTGAAATTCTTCCTACTAATAATCATCTAGATAAGAGTAAGCACATATCCTTTTTACATTTAAAACTGGCTATTGAGCCCTATGTTTGAGAAAATTAATCTAAAGTGTCATTACATGAAGACTTGGTCTGAGATTTAATTTATACAATCAGTTTTACTATCATAAGAGTCTAGAGTGCCATTGTATTTTTATATTCACATTCTGATTTAATAATTTTAAAATGTCTTCCTCTGTCAATTTTAATCTCTTTGCTATTATGGGGAGAAAATAAAAAATCCTGACTATAAAGATATTGCCTCCTATATCATTCTATACTGTTTTGAAAGGTGATGCAATACTAATGAATGACACAGCACAAAAAGCTGGATAATTATACAATAGAAAACTCATTTCATCATTCTTATAGGCTTATTATTACATCATCTTTCAACACCAGTTGTCCAAAAGAACTACAATGAAAGCCACTTACATAATTTAAAATTTTCTAGCAAGCACATACAGAACAAGTAAAATTAATTTTATTAATAGATTCTAATCCAAAATATTTTCAACATGCAGTTAACATAAAAATCAATGAGCTGTTTTACTTTGATTCTAAGTCTCTGAAATCTCATGTGTATTTTGCATTCCCAGCACATTTTCATTTTGACTAGCCCCATCCAAATGGGCAAAGTTACATATAGCCAGAGGCTGTGATATTGGACAGCACAGTTTTAGGCAATCTCACTATTCTTTTTTGTTTTTTTGTGTTTTTTTTTTTTGGAAAAAAATGAATCTTCTTTTTTGCTCATTGATTGATAAATAAGGATAAAATGATTCCTAGAATGATAAAAAAAAAAGTCTAAATATATGGAAAAGCAAATCACCAACATTCCATAATGCATTTTGGATGTGTAAAAGGGTATAATAAACCTATGATAATTGCAAAAATGAACGTTATTTTTAAAAGTTTTTTCCTTGTACTTCATAAAACCTCTAAGAGAGAATAAAAGTCATGAAATACCAATCCATACAAATGGTTAGAATTGCTTAAAAAAGAAATAAAAACTAAAATTGAGTCCAAAGAGCCGTGATGGCATATCAAAGATCGATCATTTTTATAGCTCTTTAGTTCTGTATTCCTCATACTGGCACCATTGCATCAACCATTTCATGTATGGGGATCTACCATCTAGATTTCAAGGAGTAAGAATTGAGTCTTTTGGTGCCCCTAAGTTAAGCTGTACCTGCATTGCCTATCCGAATATATATTTTTATAATATGATTATAAATAGGAAAACAAAGTGATAACTATATATTGTATGTTATTCTGTAAAGTTCTTTTAAAGCCTACGGTATTGTATTCATGCCATCTAATGTTATCCCATAAAAGAATAAACTTTTTCATTTCTTCAATAAAAATTAAGGCATTTTGATAGAGATAGTATTTTATTGACTGAATTGATGTCTATAACTGAACCAGTGATATTTAACAATGAGTTTGAAAGGAAACATGGCCCAGAGCCTGCTCTCTTCAATGTGCTCCTACATGAAACCAGGGTGATCTCCATTCCACAGCCACAGTGCTGAGGAGTCATCACTGAGCATCACCGGAAGGTCACTAAATTAGACATCAGGAATATCTGCAGCCCTATTCTAAAGCAAACTCTTTGTGACCTCAATCGAATAGAGCATTAAACCTGTGAGTGTCTCATATACCAAAAGAAGATACCTTTCTGGTCTTTCCTATTCATAGATTGGCTAAAGTAAGAATAATTATTTCTTCATAGATGAAAAACATCAATATTTGAACCTTTCTAATGCTTCCCCCAGTGTGTTTTCCCCAATAACATAAATAAGACCAAAGGATGGAAGGATGGACATAGAGGCAAATGGACACACACACACACGCGTGCACACACACACAACACAATTGCTCAACCAGTTTTTATTTATTTTTAAATTTTATTGCATGTCCTGGCAAACATAAGTGGCTTGTAGATTTGCCTCTGGCTCACCAAAAGCTTATAACACAAAATACCAAAAGACAAGCAACTGAAGCTTAAAAAAAAAAAGTATCATGTCTATAAGAAAGAACCTTTAGAAAACATTAATAAAGCATATAAAACTTTTGAAATTTGCTTAATTTTTGTACAATTATAAAATAATAAAAAAACATATCCCTTTAACATTCAATATCCCACATACTGTATTAGAGGGGAATATCAAGAAAACAAAAGGTAAATGGATTTAATGAGGAAATTTCTGCTTTCCATTTCTGTTGAAATCCATCTCCAAACAAAAGCATTCCCATTCTCCAGCTAACTGCATTGAGCTGAGGCCATAGAACTCCATTAAGCCCACTCCCAGTTGTCTATACTTAATATTCTTTTATCCTTTATACTGGCTACTCATATACTTAATGAGCATAAGTTACCATGAAGACATGAGGCCAGTAACTGTGCCTAGCTTTGGCTAGTGCCAAATCCATGAGATACAGTGCGGGAATTTCTGAGTCCCTAGTGCCTGAATAGTGCTGAAATAGCTCAGAAGTCCTAGGTTTATTCAAACACTCAGGACAGTCAAGGAAGCCATTTGTCCTCCTAATATTGCCAAAGCACAGCTTTCATTCTTCCCCTTAACGGGTTTGCAAAGCTGCATGCTTGTTTCAGAAATTAACAGTGCTTATTACCATCTAAGCACAACAAAACTTTGAAATCAAGGACTCGCTCTCTTTAACATACAAAATTAAAAAAAGTAATAAAAAAACTTTCCTTCCCTCCCCATCTTAAAATTACAGCATTATTTCTTATTAGACATTGTATTCTTAGTAAATGGTATTCCCATGAAAATACAAAAACAATTAAAAAAGGTTTCACCTGTGGTTCTCGAAAACCCACTATCCCAAGAAGAAAAAAAAATAACCAAAATACGAAGTATGCAATTTCACACACAACTATATATACATTTTTCAGATGAAACTCACACAACACATTTTAGAGCCACGTTAGCCCTTTTGCACTTTAAAATAAAAATGGAAGCTTATGTGCAAAGACAGTCCCTTACCAGAATGCATGGGAAGATTTTAGAGCTCATTAGCATGTATACAAAATATTTGTTTTACATTTTGAAAAAAACAAAGTATGTGATTCAAAGTATGTTTCTAAAAGATCTAGGAGGAATATCGTCATTTACATGTTCTACCAAAGTTTGAAGACAATTCTTTGTTTATGTGGTTTAAATAACAGCTTCTATGAAAGCATTATCCCTTGCTCTGTGGGGACATTTTTATGTCTATGCACAGTCCCTAAGGGAGACGGACGGGAAATTGGGTTCTCACAGTTATTTTCCAACAAACTGAAACTCTTATTGATTAAAAAAGAAAAAACAATACAGTGATGCAACTTACTCCACAAGAAAACTAATCTCATAATTTTATATTTCCCAAATCACCATTCTTATATTAAACCTTGAAAAGAGAAAGGCAAACAAGCCTCTACAGGCAGAGTTTTATAGACTAGGAGGGTCTTTAAAAGAAATATTTACCAAATATTATTATTTATGCTTCAAAAGATTTTTCAAGAACTTTAATTCATGGTTTGCTGAGATTATCTTACATTTGGTACAGATTCGAGATTTCTGAATGATTCTTATTTTTCTTGAATATTCTTAATAGATAGTCCAACTTCACCATAAGAACTAAATAGATGGGTTTCATCCCAATTGAATCAACCTGAATTCTAATAAGAGCAGCAAATATGTATTTGAGTTAGTTAACCTACTAGTGAAATTTAGTTTTAAGACTTCTGTGATGGCAACAATTTTTTTTTCTCAATAAATACTATAAGATAAGGTGTCTGGTGTTAAATTTAAGGAGTTTACTAATATACTCAGATACATGACACCAGGTGTTTTGAACTGGCTGCCATGGACATTTTAAGAATTTTAGTCATAACTCACAATCCTCACTCCCAATCAAAACCAAAATAGGATGTGTCCTTTCCTTTAGTGTGTGATAGTGTGAACATAAATTTCTCTTATAATTGGACTAAATAACCCCAAAGTGAACTATCTTCACTAGAAGGGATGTTAGTAATGTAAAATACACCAACATTGAGGAAAGTATACATATATACAGTCTCACCCACAAAATATGCAATGGTAAATAAAACTGGAGCTATTCAAAGGTTTGATGTAGTATGTGTTTCGTATCTAGAGAACTGAAAGGCCCTATACATCATTGTTACACGCATGTAACTAAGCTCTAGATACCTATCGCCATACATGATACCCTTTCAGAGGAGTATAGAGAAGCCATACAGAATAAGTAATTTTTTTAAAAAAAGTAGATAAGTGCAACTCAATTTTCTTTCCTTTAAATTACATTTTTAAACAATACTCAATGCCCCCCACCCAAAAATATATACTGTATATTTATATATTTATATATATATAGTCTTAGACTATAAGGGTGACAATGCTTTATAAAAGTCAATGAGAAATCTCTGCAGCTTAAAGAGACACCCACGTCTTTTTTGCTCACTTCTACCTAGCCATGGCAGCGTCAGTCCTGCAAGCAATAGTTTTGAAGGCTTAAAGCCAGAATCAGAATCAGACACCAGGTCAGATGTTAGGTAAGAGGTAGCCTCTTACTTCTCCTTCCCCTAAGAAATCAGACTGAGAAGAGGAAGGGAAGGAGCTAGGGAGAATGCTCTGAAGATCAAGCAGGAGTGCTTTGTAGTGGGATGGGCAGGTGGGACGAGGATAGAAAGAGCCCACACGACAAGACTCACTCCCCCTCCTCTTTAATGCGCTGTTGCTTGTTGCGACGAGTATCCATGTCAAAGTTGAAGTCATTCCACTCGTCTCGGGGTGGGAAGGAGATGGTCTGGCGGAGGGTGAAGCGCACGGCATCAATAACACGCTCACCTCGGGTCTCACTGGAGCCCACACTGACAGTAGAGGCACCGCTTGGGGTCCGCAGGAGATGTGGAGGTGAGGAGAAGTCGTGGAGCTGCCGGTGGTCCAGGATGCCCTTCCAGATTGCATGTCGGAATTGCTCAGGGATTTTTAAACTTGCCAAATCCTATGCAACAAGGAAGGGAGCCAGGAAGAATTAAAACAAGGAGACAAATTGATATTTAGTCCACAGTCATTCCCTGATGCTCTGGTTTAATTGATCTGAATTTATTGATCTCCATATTATCACAGAAAATAAAATTAACTCTCTGATAGTCTTCAGTGCTATATGTAACTAAGCACAAAGACACAGACAGCCTTAAGGTGTCACTTTATTTGTGAATAACACTTCACTTAGTTTCTACTGGCCTTAGTTTCTTCATTGGTAAAATATGGATAATACTTAGAGAGGAGGGAAAAACTCCCAAACAGAAGGATGAGGTACCTTCTGGCATTTAAATCTACCTGGCTCTAGTCACTAGAAGAAAGGTATTAATGGAATGTCACCACCACTTGAGTGAGGAGATAAGAAGAAAAGGTGACTAACAGGGATTGAGCACTTTCTACGTGCCAGGCACTGAACTAATTATATTCATGATACCATTTAATCCTGAGGTTAGTGATAAATATTATTATGTATATCTGTTTTGTAAATAGAAAAACTGAAGGCCAGAGAAGTTGACAAGTCTGAAGTCACAGAACTAAGTGAAACAATTAGAGACTGAGGATATCCTCTGAGACTAAAACTTCCCTATTGGCCAGAAGGTATATTGTTGTTTGAATAAATCAGTGTATCAAAATGTAGAGCAGGAATCAACCTAAGTGCCCACGCACTGAGGAGTGGATAAAGAAAATGCGGCATTTATATACACCATGGAATATTACTCAGCCATAAAAAAGAATGAAATAATGCTTTTTGCAGCAACTTGGATGGAACTGGAAGTCACTATCCTAAGTGAAGTAACTCAGGGGTGGAAAATCAAATACAGCATATTCTCACTTAGAAGTGCGAGCTAAGTAAGCTCTGGCTACGCATGGTCACACAGAGTGAATATAGCATCCAGTGCTATAATGGACACTGGAGATTCAGAAGGGAAAGAGTGGGGGAGGGCGAGGAATGAAAAATTACCTATTGGATACAATGTACATTATTCAGGTGACGGGTATACCAAAAGCCCAGACTTCACTACTATACAATTTACACACATAACAAAATACAGATTGTACCCCCTAAATCTATTGAAGTAAAACAAAATGCAAAGCAGTTGTATCTATGTTCTATGGATGGTGGCAGAAGGCATTCCAAATAGGGTCAACCTTGACTAACTGGTGGCATCTCTTACATTTATCTGCATTAGCTCCTCCTTAGAGTGTTTCAGTGATAGCTCATGTTTTTTTATGGAGCAGAATGGTGGGGAGAAAGCACATTGTGCTTGGTGTCAGAAAACCTTAGCAGAGGTTCTTATTCTGTCACTGACTGGCTACAGAACTTCAGCAAGTCACTCATTATCTACTGGCCTCAGTTTCTTCATTGGTAAAATGGAATACACTTGCTTTTTAGGTCAACACTTATTGTAGACTCATTTGTTAATGTGGCTATGAAAGTATTTTATAAATTATAAAACACACTATATAAATGATAACCATTTGTGTTATTATATTATTAACTCATCTTTGCATCTTATAGGGGACCCTAATGAAAACCCCTCAATTTAAGCATATTCCTCTTTCAGAAAGTGATGCCACATGATTTAGACTAGTGCTAAGAGATAATCTGAGAAAGAGGTGTCTATTTCCTGAAATGAGCAGGAACAAACCGAGGTGAGGAGGAGAAAATTGTGTAGCTTTCCAATATTTCCAAATTTGGAAATTTGTAGTATGGTATCATATTTTTCCATGTTGTTAATTTTTAGGCAATTAGAAGTATTCCAATTTCTTATTGTAGCAGAAGAGCACATTATAAAGAAATAATCTACAAATAGATAAGTGAATATAGGTTTTTTATGCTTCTTGGACTCTTTACTTCTGAGACTCTGAGTAAGTCCAAAGCTCTTTGTAAACTAGCCTCCATTAAACTTCACGATTCTCTGGATAGATTTTAACTGATGACTGACAAGTTAGAAAGCTGTGGCCCAGAGACTGGCATAAGATATAGTGAACACCAGCAGAAATGGACTTACAGAGTATCTGCAGATCCTAATAATCAAAGGAGCATTCCTGGCATGCTTCCTAGTGGGAACAAGTGAACAACTAGAAGCTATGACTTTAAAAATATAGAGAAGGGCCATATTCCTTGCTCCGTAACATAGGACTCTACTATAGGAGGCTCCCTCAAATACAGGGCAACTCTATCCTTCTCAGTGGACGGAAGTGATTGAAAAGTTATCTGAATCTTATCAGAACCTACTCTTAAAGCTTTCTCTATAGGTTTTGTCTGTAATTTATTCTATCAGGGAGCAGCAGCCAGGGGTGATTTATGGGACGGACGGGGTGGGCATAATGGCAGTACAGTATATATGTGTCACCTCAGGGCTGGAACATTATCATGCTGCAAGGGCATCTCTAGCATCGGTGCTCAAGGAGGGGGGGAAAAGAGGTCCCAACTACAGAAGCAGCAGCAGAGGCAGAAAATACCTTCTTCCACCAGTCCAAAGTGCCCTCTGGAAGCTAGAAGAAAGCATAGTGAACCCCAAAGAGAGCAGCATGAAGAGCAGCCTGGGAGACAGATCAGATTACCATAAACCAGAGCAATACTAGCTCCCATGTGAGCAGCAGTTCAAGAAGTGGCATAGGAAGCAAGAGAAGGTCCATTCTCATCTAGCTTATTTCAAAAGACAGATCAAATAATAACAAAGCCAGAAGGTGATCATTTTGAACCCAATTTGATTAACTGAGGTCCAGGGAGGAAAAGTGGTAATCCCAAGTTCTCATTGCTACTAAAAAACATGATTGAGACTTGAACCCATAGCCATTGATAATTTCCAATGATCAGAGATGGCTGGACCCTATTTTGATATAATTAAAAATGAATGAAGGAGCATACAGTTTTAATTTAGAGAAACAGCTGAATCCCCCTTAAAGTCTTACTTCAATAAGAGGCAGAAAAGCCAGTTAATAGACTTATAGACCCTAGGGTTCTATGCCTGGTTTTGTCATCTTTTGTCATAGCATAAGACTATTTTGTCATCTCTCTTTTTAAGTGAGAATAATACCACCTGCTTCCTGCTATCCTCCTTGAGGACTTATATAGACTAATGAGAACAACTATAAATTTCTATGAATTCTTTAGAAATTATAAAGTTCTTGATTGTGGGCATTATATCTCCTCTTTTTCACTTTGTAAATAGTGTAGGGGCAACAGACAATTGTCGACTTCTCAGACAAGCTAAAGAAGATTGATTGCTAAGCTTCTAACATGTATAGGTGAAGGCCTGGGAATCTTTCTAATATGGTTATGGGTTCCACCAAAATTGAGGATTGGGGACAAGAAAAAAACAAATTTTAAAACTAGCAGGGATTGAACTACAAGGCAGTTGTCACAAGAGGGAGGAAATGAAGAAATAAAACTCAAGAGAAAAGTCTAACAGTTACTTACATCCATGGAGTAATGCTCAATCTGATAGATGGTGGTCAGCCCCTGGGTCGTGAAATAGTCCAGACATGATGAACAGCCCAACCTCGCTAAGAAACTGCAGAGGGAGGAGGGAAGAGGAAGGAGGAAACAGAAAAAGAAAGTTCACCCCATCTGCATTGGCGAGATAAAGGAAAACCCAACATTTTGCCCTTAGATGCCCTGCATAAGAGACTAGAGACAGATAAAACATATGTGGGCCTTGGATTTGAGTTTTGGAGATTATTAGTGACTTGAAATTTAGGTCTATAGAAATTAAAATCATCTATAAGGGTTTTGGCAGACGAGCAGTTATCATGTGGTGATCTGTATCAGGTGATCTGTATGTGGAGTTCCAGGGCTCTGTATCAGTGCCTTAGGAGCGATTGCAAGGAATGAAAGGAAAAAGACCAGTGTTCATGTTGCCAGCCCTCTTGCCACCCGGATCTTCACTTCAAAAAGAGCATCTCTATTTTGTTTTGTAGTTGGGATCTCTGAGAATGGTTTATGGGTTAAGAAAAACCTGCAGACTATGAAGTCATGAATGCCTTTTGAGTCACTTCCTCCTCAGAATACAGATCCCCTTCTTTTGGGTGCTGAACTGAGACTGGGGATGCTGCCCTCGTCACAGGGCCAGACCCTGGATGGGATAAGCCATGCACATTGCCATTCTGTGATTGACACTGCATGGGGAGCAACACAAATCATTCCAGCAGCCAAATGAAAGAATCATTCTGCACACGAAGCAGAAGCAGCAGATGTGCATGAGGTGTGAAATTTGGGAACCTACTCTTGCCTCTGCAGGAAACAGGTCTTTCAGGCTTCATCCATTGCTTTCTTCTGCCTGTAGTATACCCATTTCCTGCTTGCAGAGCAGTAGAGGCCATTAGATTCTTGAAAGTTCCTGTCGTTTGTGCTAACATTAAATTTTTTTTATGGACATCCAACTCCAAAATAATGGTCTCATGGTGGCTGAGAGCTATGAGGGCTAGAGAGCAAGAAAGGGAGCGAGATAGCAAGTTTACTGCCCTTTTGGGAAACCCAGCCCTGAGCACCAATTTGAGGGCCATGATTGACAGTGTAAAATCGTGAGGGAGGAGGGAGAGAGGAAGTGAAGGTGAAGGAAACAGGCATGGAAACTACATATGCCTATAAATACACATCTTCACTTGTCCCCATGCTGATTATAGTAGTATTGATTAAACAATGCTGACCACTGCACAGATCAGAGAGAATAGTGGCTGAGCTCCAACCATAAAACTGCTTCCTTTCTTTCGACTGTTTTATTGAATTTGACAGTATCCACCCTCCACCACCCAGAGATGCTTAGGACAGGCCCCCAGGGGCACATGCTGTGGACTCACCTGACAATGCTGCAATCTGTGGGGTACGGAGGTGGGGGGGTGCAGTGGGAAGTGGATGGCATGGAGAGTGGGGGAGGGAGGGCCTGGGTGGGGCTGAGTCCATTCATGTCTCCAGCCATTGGCATGTGGGTGCCCATCATAGGAACTGAACAGAAGCAGGAGGAACAGAGAGGGTTACTGCCGTCATCATGTACCAGCATCCCAGTGGTCCATCTTGCCTGGTTTAATGTTATCAAGGACCTAAACTACCAGCCTTTTTTCAAAAGTCTTATCTCTCACTACATCTCTTAAGTCACCCTACATCTAGTCAATCAGAATAGTCACCAGATTCCAAACTAATTATTTACTCCTAGATCTTTGTACCTTTTCCTAGGACAATCTCTTTCCCCCCTTTCTCTATTTCTAATTCTTTGTCCAATTGTTTATTGCTCCTATTGTTAACATATCCTCCTTGTATTTGCCTTCATGAGTTATATTTCTGTCTCTTTTACTGGTCTTATCTCAAGCAAAGATTAGATCTTAGACATATATAGATTCCCACAGATCCTAGAACAGTGCCTGGCACAGAGTAGTTGCTCAGTAAACTTAGGTTAAGTGGATAAATGAACAAACCTGGGAAAGTGAGGGTGACTTTTGGAGTATTTATTAGGCGACAGGAAAACTTACTGTAATATTTGTGAATCACATGTCTAATAAAGAGGATCCGATTTGAGATTCTAACTCTTATGGTCCATTTGAGAGTTGTGTACAGGAATACCAATACTTACTGATATTTTACTAAACCATAAATGTCAACATTCACTGATAGAGAAGAAAGCTTAATATCAATATTTATGAAACAAATTTTGCCTTCAGGTAGAAAAAAACAAAATAATATATCTAAAAAAAGAAATGTAATGTGTTTCTACTTTAGTGAACAGTAGTGTATCTAAGGAGAAAGGCCTCTGACACTAACCAGCTAACTAGAGAGCAGACCCCATCACATCTCAATCTCTTTCCCCCCTGAATTTCCTGAGTACATCAAAGGATAATTGTAAAGTACAAATAAGAAAATGTAGGCAAATTGTAAGTTATACAAATGTGAAATATCATTAATATTTTTCTATCCCAAGAAACAAGTTGAGGACCTTAAGACATCACAAGAAAAAAAAAAAATGAAGTAGAAATTAATGGTTCCTATTCTTTTTACTGTCAAAGTAGCAGACCTGTCAAGTGGTCAGGTTTAAGCCTTAGGAAGCATTTATCACTAGTGAGAGCAGCGTGGCTCTAAAGTCTATATTGCCATACCAGGCGACCACATCACATACACCTCTAACACATTAAAACACGAACGTGTGTCACCAGACCATGGAGAGTCACAGTCCTAGCCTCCCTCAACTTCTTTAAGTAAACCCAGCCCCTTCAAGATAACAGTGAAATATAAGTTCAAAGTCTTGATCAAAATAATTAGGAATTAATTTCAAAAGACAAGATTGAGGTTACTTCTTCTTAGGGGGTGGGGTTCATAAGATACCTGTGCAGCGTTCAGTTGTCTGTATCCCTGAGGATATTATTTATGCATCCTTCTGCATTTTTACCATCCTTTACTTTGTTTCAAGTTTGTGTATCTACTTTGTAGATTTAGTCTTACTGGACAAGATAATATATTTATAGCAAAGCTATGTGCCAGTCATTGTCCATTTGGAGGCCCAATTCTCAGTGTCTTTTACATTTATACTTTGCTGTCAGGAATTTGTGTGTGAATGAGTAAAAGGCAGGCTCTTTTGTAGGTAAGTTCCCTGCTGACTGTGTATGAGATGAATTGAAAAGACCAAGATTTTAGGGACACAGACTCAAAATATTAAATGTGCAGAGTGATAATTCTATGGATAGAAAACTGAGCATCATAGCAGAGAAGTAACTTGTCCATAATTAAACAAAAAATTTTTCAATAGAATCTAGATTATAATCTATTATATTTCTCTAGATTTTAAGTCCACTACAACATAACATTTTCTACACACTCCATACATTTCCTTTCAACTATCTCAAAGGTTACAGGAGATGTGTCTCCTTCCAGATTGGCAGGAAGTGGACTGTTCTTTTCATAGAGATCCTTATCCCTATAGAAGAAACAGTCTTCTCCATCTCTGCCAGTGTATTTGGTAATGAACCATATACCTCCAAAGTGAGAATTTCACTGTCAGAGACCCCGGCCATTCAACTTTGATCTGATTTGTCCCACTGTGCCTCTCATTTAGCTTAAGAACAAGCCCCATCCCAGAGCAGAGTCTTCTCCTACACTAGCCCTGTTCATCCTTCAGCCACAGATAATGGGAGATGCTCTTACTGTTGGCTCCCATGCCATCAGGAATGGTGGTGGGAGTCAGGGCGTTGCGCTGCTGAGGGTTGATAAGCTGGCTCACGGAAGGCAGCTTGTTCATGCTGTTCATTTTGTTCAGAGGTGGGGAGCTGTTACCGTATGAAGACTGAGACTGCATCGAGGTCCTAGGAACACAAACATGGGAATGATGGTGAGCGTGGGACACTGAAGAGTGGGGACTTGTCATTTTCAACAGGTCTAAGATTAAAACACGGCCTCTAACTATACACTTGCAAAATATTCCTCCATTATTGATGATAAGAAGTTAATTGTGTTTCCATCTGAGAATAGGGAAGGAAATGATTGAATAGGGAGGAAATGATTGCAAGGCTATCATCAAATCACACTTATCCTGAATGTGCAGAGTGCAAAGTTTAATATCTTTCTCAAGTATTTCCTTTGTGAGAGAAAAAAGAATTGCATCCTCCTTTATTCTTTATTGTTTCCTCTATCCCCTTCCCCTCCCTTGTCCTTCAACTCAAATAAGTTTGAAAACTAGTAAAGGAAAAGAACTGAGCAAAGACCTAAAGGCCGATGAGAGACACAGAGATACCAAGCTCAAATGGCGGCTGAGGCCTTCCATTTGTAGCTTCCTAGGCCACGTCGGATAGGCAGAAAATAACTGCAAAGCCAATCAAACAGGGCATTTAGCAGCACATCCTGCTGTCACGCAGAGGTGCCTACTTGGAAACATGCTTTCTCAGCTGAAAGGTTCATGGTCCATGAGAGAAACCATTGGAAAGATAACAGCCTTTGTGTGTAGAACCCTGAAGCCCAAAAAACAGTTGTATTGACTTCCCCCAGGTATCCTGGGAGAAATAGAAAAACAAAACAAAATTCCAAGGGTTTTCCATTCAGCATAACCTTCAATTTGGAAATTTGCTAGAATTAGTTTGTTATATCATATATTATATTATATTATAGGTAATATTCTTAACTGCCATTCCTGATATTTTCTTTTAATGTAGAACTTATGATGTATTCTAGAATGAGTACCAGAAAAATCAAAACTTAAGCTTTCCTCTAGTATATGTATGAGGAAGCTATAGGTTCCTGTACAAGCCACTTAACATCCCTGCTTTTTTTTTTTCACAAGAAACTATATAAACTATCTACATATTCACATGAGTTATATGTTAGAGCTAGGAAAACTAACAAGAAATGGCCCCTATCTTTGAGATGCTCATAGAGTAGTGGATACAATGGGGATAATAATCCATCTTACTTTGTAAGGCTATGATGAGAACTGAAAAAGAGAAGATGAGAAAGAACTTTATATAGCATTTACATAGTCATTATTGTAACCACAGAATGAAGATGGGGCTTTCAACATGTTTCTAATCTGTGGTGGGAAAAGCTCCCCTCTAACAATCTTCAAACAAAATGTGCTATTTTGTTCCTGTTTGCCTTTTCCCTGCTGCAGCCATATTTCCATTAGAGGAGCTATAAATTTTTTTTGAGTTTTATTTGTGTGTGTGTGTGTGTGTGTGTGTGTGTGTGTGTATGTCATACACATGACTCAAATTTTGGAGGCTCTGTAAATGAACCCAGATCCCAATCACACATGCATAAAAATATTTGAAAAAATAATAGAAAATGGTTCTAGCCCTTGAGTGCTACAGTAGTAGGGTTGGTCTTTGAAGCTGCCACTCTGCATTCTCTACAACTATATGAAAACAGGGAAGGCTCTGTTCCGTATCACTGAAGAGCCACAGCTAGAGGAATGCAAACAATATGCTGTACATGCATTTGATAAATTAGTATGACAGTTAATATACAATGAACAGTTCTGCTGCATTTTACAATCACTGCCTTTAAGGGAGTAGGGCAATGACTTTTCTCTTTAGCCCTTTTCAAGTACTCATAATTACAGATCTGCATCGTATAAACTAATGTTTACATAATAAATCCTCCCAATTGTAAAATGCTTCAGCTTACCAAGCTCTCCCTTTATACATTTTCTGAATAATTGTCACAACATCTCTATGGAGCCTGTCATGACAGACCCAGGATGGGCAAAAATTATTCCTATGATACAGAGGGTAAATATAAAGTTCTAAGGAAGTAATGTGCCTAAGGTCACATGTTGCTAAATGCATGAATTGACAGTAGAACCAATTCTCTTGGCACCCAGTCCAAGAGTTTTGTTTTGGTTTTTTCATTTCATTCTGCAGCCCATCCCCACAGACAAAACAGTGGTGGACAATAAGTTACAGGAACAAGAAATGGGTGAAGTGGTAAGAAATGTGGGAGGTCACGATAGAGTAGGGAGCAAAGGATACAGTAAAGGGAGTTACTCCGGCTGTTATTGGGCACTTCCAAATCTACTCCATCCCTGTGGAGGAGCCTTGCAGGAGAGTCAGCTCATCTGGATATACTTAGGAACATCCATAAGTCCCTATCAACATGGAGGAACGCATAGGGCAAAGCAGCAGAGAGATTCTCTGCCAGCTGCTCCTTCTACAACTGTCTTTGCCCACTACAAAGTACCTACAGTTCCAGGTGACCCATATTCCAGATGTAAGTTGGTCCTCTGTAACATAAAGAGATCTGTATCTGTCTCTCCCTCAAATCAGTTAAATATACAGCATGAGCTAATGGAAAGCATTGCTTGAACCATTAACTCCCACCATTAGGAAAATAAACATACATTTAGAAGCTTTGCATTTTCCCTGGAATTCAGTTACAGTAAATGCCTTCTTCCAATTCCTGTTATAATATTCTTTTCCCTTTCCTTTATGGTTGTGATGCTGGACTATTTTTTATTAGTTCATTTATTATTTTTCATCATAAGCCACTTAATTTGAGGAAGGTAGCTAAGAAACAATAGATGAATAAAGAAGGAACACAGATTTTAGAGTCAACCAAAACATCTGGGTCACCTCCTGGATCTGACACAAACTAGTTAAGTGATGCAAGTCTCTTAAGTCTTACTTGCTTAATCTGTAGAACAGGCATTATATGCCCACTCTAGAAGAGTCACTGTGAAGATTAAAAGAGATCATTTCGTAACCCTGGACATTATCCAGTGATTTGTAGGTGTTCAAGAAACATGGATTCCTTTCACTCTTCCCTGTCAGCCCCAAATGTTTAACATTCTGGTGTTTGGTCCTAGGGATGGAAGGTGCCAATTTAAGAATTAATAGGAAGAAGTGGCCAGAGGTGACTAGGAATCTAAACTCAACATATCCAAAAACTAGGGTGAACAACTGAATGGGGATAAGAGAGTCTGAAAGTGTCAGAAATTCTGAATGCATCGCCCTTAATGTAGAAGTGAGTTGTGAGTTTTAAAGCCACAGGAGGGAGATCAGGGTAGTCTGTTTATTACTAAGTTCACAATGACTGAAACAGAAGAAGCATTCTCTACACACTGTGGAAAAGGGAATAAGGATGAGTAAAATTCATACCTTATTTAAAGGCCTTAGAGAACAACCATATTTTTTTCCATTACAAATATAATGTCGTTGCAAATATAATGAGTGAAAAGTCCCAGAGATTTATGGAAAAACTGAACAGAAGAAAAAAATGTTCAAAAGAACAAATATGGCCAGTGCCATCCTGGGTTTCTTCCCTGTCCTCCCCTCCCCCCACCAGACCCACAAAAACCAAAAGGGGAAAAGGTAGTTCTCTGTAGGAAAAATAACAAGGTGTATAGTTCAGGTTATTTTCTCTGGAGGCTTACTAGATTTTTCTAAGAATTCAATGTAACAGAGATAGAGAAATGCATGTTTTGTGTATTTCTAGTTTTGAGGGAAAGCCTAAGTGAAGCCAAATCCCAGTTCTTAACCCTAACAATATAACCTTCTGTATACATTGCTAAGAATAAAATTTCAAATTTCAGGTTTCCTGATTCCAACTCTAGTGACTATCTGTGTGGTAGAATATCAAAATTGCTGAGAAGACACAAGTTACCCTGTCCACCTTCCAGGAGATTCCTGGAATTCTACTAGATTCCTTCTTTGGGCTTAAGTCTTCCATGGCTAATTAAAAAGCAACTGTTTGGTAGAATTTGGTGATACCCCCACTAAATGTAGCTCACCAAACCATTTGTGGAGTGTAGAATTTGAGAGGAGAACGGGATATTAAGAGCAGAATACCTCTGGTATGAGAAAGGTCAAAATAAGAAAAGACATGGGACATCAGAAAAGAAGGTGTGTCTCCTCTAAATTGTATTCAGTTCTGTCTGCCTGTGACATTTTTCTCTAGCTGGGTAATACTGCTTCTAAACACAGTGTAGCATTTATTCTCTAGATGAGTCAATCATAATTTTTAAAATATTTTCCATCATTTCAAATATGCAAATTTATATATAATTTACTGGAAACACATCAAAAACTTACATAAAAATAGGCTGAAAAAAATAAAAAACCCTCGGAACGAGAAAAAAAATTTTAAAAAGCTAAACATACTCACCAATCCTTTAAAGTCTTTGTGAATCAAAGTTATTAGACTAATTAAAAATACTTTTCAAATACTGTTTGTTCTAAAGTATTTATCTAAGCTGCTAGATTGTTTTTATTTAGAAAAATCCATTAAGCTTTTAAAAGCAATTATTCAAAGCTCAAAACATATTGTAATTTTTAAAAAAAATGGACAACAGGTTCCTCTATAGATTTCTGGCCAAATACTTGCTAATGTGCATTTCACAGAAGCCAAACTATTTTAAAAACTGGGATTTGATTTAAATTCATTTTAGAAAATTTAGCAAATTAAGACAACTTGAGGCTTGTTCAGAGATGTCAATAAATGACTCTACCTTGCCTGGCTCCCTATGATGAAATTAAACACTCATCATAGGGCTAATATTTTTTTAAGTTAGTTTAGACATTAGTTATTGTATTAATAATTAATTTTTAGGACTGATGACCTTGATAGAGAATCTTAAATAAAAACATCAAATACTGACAGAAGAAATGTAGATGGGACCAAAGTGGCTGTTCTATTATTCTTGTTCTTTAGATCTACACATGGTACTTCAAACACCTGCATAAGAATATTCTAGTATTCAACGGGAAAAAAAGCAAGAGAGACAGAAACAAAAAACTGCAACATAAACCAAGATGCAAAAGTTTATTTAAAATTAAAATCACACATTCATAAAGCAACAGCCTCAATAACAAGAAAT